ATATAATATAGGCTGTCTTATCAAAAAAGAATAAAGGTGACAGAGAGCAAATGAGGAATACTTATAAAACTGTACAATGATTGGTCTATTTATCTATGCATACTGAGTATCTACAATAATAAAGAACCAAAGGTTTTAATTGCAGAGACTAGTCAAATAAAAAATAGTTTATTATCTGCCAATGCCTCTTAACTGTAACTGTTAGCACATTATTGATTATTTTGCTATAGATTCTATGACGAAAATTTGATTATACTTTGTAGTGTGGGGACTCCCTACGTTTAAAACGTATGGTGAAGGCGATGACCAAAAGTAAAGTTGACGTATTTTGGAACAACCTCATGTAATTTCTCACGGAGAATTACGAAATATAATTTATTTAACACGAATATTTCGTTCATCGGCCTAAGTGATATACATTAGAGATACTTAACAACACGTTGCTGAAACTTAATTGGTCATATGTATATATAATGAGAGACGTATCTGGGAGTGAGATCTGCGCCTTTATCGTATAGGTTTCAGTGGCGTAGTGATAGGCCTATGATACAGTAGTGAAAGACACCGAGATAGCAAGAGGGCTACTATACAGTAACTGAAAAAGGAACCGTCATCGATAGCCATCTTGAAATCCAATATAGCGGCCATCTGACATATTTTCTGATGATTTCATGATACTCTGTGATATTGAAAACATGGTTAAAGATGTGATTGCTGTGTTCCGTTACTGTAGATATGAAGATATTGACAAAAATAGTTTTGCAGTCATCTAATTGAAATCAAGCCTATGGTGGCCATCTCAGCAGTGGATCTGGGTTCAAATTTATGAGAAGGTCAAAAAAAAAAAAAAAAATACAAAAAGAGGGGGGCCCGGGCTTTCCCAACTTCTGAGATATTGTCTTTTAATGACTTTTAATTTCTTCAAAATTCAAAGTTTCTCCCCGGGAAAATGGATGGCGGGAAATGAGCTTTCCTGACTTCTGAATTGTGGGTCGGACCCCTGACCCATTCAGATCCGCCAATGTATCTGATATAATTTCTGATGATTGCATAATACTCCCTGATATTGAAAAACATACACTTTTGAATGACAGTGCTAGGTGATGTGGGTTCGAGTCCCACCCGAGAACAACTTGCGATTTTTTCGCAATTGTTTTCACAGGTACTGTACTGAGTATTCAGTACATTTCCACGTCAGGTAGGGAAAAATTACACCTATACTTGATTCTCATTCCATCACGACAATAACAATTATTATCACCATAGAGCTATTATTATATTACAGTACAGTAAACTGTATTATTGTTATTCTTATTATAATTATCTCTATGGTATCTCCATGATTCACCTAATTTGGTTGGAATAATGACGTCATATTGTGTTAGCCACACCTCTCATGAATATGAATAGTACGGGTTGTTTTTATGACGAGCTCGGCGGATCCGCACGTTCGCGTTATTATGAGCGGAAATCCGTGTTACAAGCAAGCTATTCTTCGAAAATCTTAAAATCTGATTACTGTGTTGAACTTGTGCGTTAAACCAAAATACAAACACCAGGAGAGATTATTCTTCCTCGGATATAGCCTATTAATTATATAGAAATTTTATATATTTTGCTTGTTTGGGAATCAGTGATGTCGTACACCCGGCCGAATTCTGTTTACGAGGTAGGTGTCCCAAGGAATCACAAGTTCTTTATTTGACTACAAAGGAGGTTTGCCTTTTAGTGTCTGACTCTTTACCCTAGCAATTCCGGGTACATATATTGGAGATATTGTCCTAGCTTTGTAGAGTAGATCATGCTTTGGTAAGTATCAAATGTGAAATGCTTGCTTTTACGTATGGTACAAATGTGAAATGCTTGCTTTTAGGTATGGTACTTTCAATAGTCTATACATTATCAGAAGTTGTAAGTAAAAAACAGAATACCATTGAGTGATACCATGAGTGATATATTTGGGGATGTAGGCCTAGCCTAGGCCTATCGTAAAATTTGATGATGTATGCCTAGCTAGGACTCAGGAGACAATTGTGACGTGATCATGTATGGCGAGTGCATCTTATCTTGTACGAAGCAAACATTTTATTGTTTTGCCATTATTTGACATTGGTTGGTCAATTTATTTAAGCTTTTTGTGTATTTCTTACCACAATTCTGAATATCGTTGATTTACATTCATTTTCTTCGAAATAATGCATGAAAAAAACATTTCGGGGGAAAGGGAATAAACTGCTTTTGGCCTTGGTGGGTGTATGAAAAATGAGAATGCGAAACTAAATTCCCATTCAATTGAAAAAATGAATATCATTTTCGCTGCGAAGCAGCCAATTCATATTCTTGACAGCAATTTGACCTCTGAAAGGTCATTGTTTGTCAAAAAACAATCGCCTAAGACAACTGAAAAGCGGAGTTTCCTTCTTTCGTTCTGCCGGGTAAAATCAATTACTTTAGGCGACGTTTGTAGACTAACCTACTCTTAAAGCAAGCATTTTATTGTTTTGCCATTATTTGACATTGGTTGGTCAATTTATTTAAGCTTTTTGTGTATTTCTTACCACAATTCTGAATGTCGTTGATTTACATTCATTTTCTTCGAAATAATGCATGAAAAAACATTTCGGGGGAAAGGGAATAGACTGCTTTTGGCCTTGGTGGGTGTATGAAAAATGAGAATGCGAAACTAAATTCCCATTCAATTGAAAAAATGAATATCATTTTCGCTGCGAAGCAGCCAATTCATATTCTTGACAGCAATTTGACCTCTGAAAGGTCATTGTTTGTCAAAAAACAATCGCCTAAGACAACTGAAAAGCGGAGTTTCCTTCTTTCGTTCTGCCGGGTAAAATCAACTAATTTAGGCGACGTTTGTAGACTAACCTACTCTTACCAACGTTGGCATGTCGCGATGCTGGAGTACTAGTCAGCGTTTTTACTATATTTCTAGGTTTCCTATTTCTATGTTTAATCGGCTCATGTCTCAGCCACAATATTTTGAGGCCAATATTATTTATGAACCCATTTAAACTTATTTACTAGCCTATTTCAACGTGCTAATTATTACATTTAGGCAATGCTTGTTGTAGACTGGCATAGTGTTTTCGGAAATAAATACCATTTTATACACATGCGCAGATCGATTCGCCAGCAGCGAGTCATCGCCAGCAGAGAGATGTCACTGCAGCAAAACACTATTGTACACGGTACCAACGCTGTTCTAATATAGACAGTGGGTCGTGCTCATATTATTTGTTATATTTTTATTATTCATTATTTTCACTTGACTCGCATAAATAATTTTGTTCGAAGAACATTTTATGTAGTTGTACTTCGCAGCACTTCACTTGCAATTTGCAATTTCTAGTTAGTATTGTAACCCAAGTCCCAAAGTTTGGCGTTCCAGTCCCGTTGAAAGTCTGCTTCTGAGGCAAGTACTGTAGCGGTTTAACTAAATTTGGCATTGAATTGAATCGTTGTTGCTTGTACAGTGTAATGATGAAATACCCTGTCAAAGCACAACAATGGGGCCTGTGTTTAGAAAAGCTTACTCATCATCCCAGGAGGTCATTTTTTGATATTTATACTTAGTGGGAATATTAAGAGTACAGACTGTTACTGGAAACAGTATTAAATAAAAGCAAAGTAGCACTTTACATTGTTTATTTATTAAGACCTATTTCCATACCTTGAGCCATAAAATGGAAGAAAGAAAAACCTGTTCCTCCATGGCATACAGTGAATCTTTTTCTTAATACTTCAATTCAAGTACTGTTAATTGAAAGACAAGACTAAATGGTTATTATTATTATAATTATTATTCAGTCAGTTGTGACATCATCACTTTATTTTGCACTGAATTTTTCTATTCTCGACTGATCACTAATTTGATACAGAGCCTCCGTTTTTATGCGTCACATCCATTTCTCTCGCACCACTCATGTGGAGGCGATCCTGTCGCTAAGCAAAATATTGAAAGATATTATTGAGGTTTTTCGTAGTATCTACTAGTATTTTATTGCAAAAAAAAGACAGTACAATTAACACTGTACAGTATATTATTATGCCTATGAAATTTTCTTTGTAAACCAAGAAAGCATCATGTGAGAATCTGTGAGAAGAAATCTCTTAACTAAATTGGGATATTGTTAATGAATAGAGAAAGATGATAAAATCAGTTATGTACAGTAGCTCATTGGATAGATTTTTAATATGTCTTTTTGTTTAGTCTAGTCTGTTCTTAGTACCAGTGGGTGGTAAAGTTTAATGCTATCTACCTACACAATCATTAATCACACCATACAAACTGTTAAGCATGAAGGTATGTCAGGTTTTTGCATTGTGCTTGTGGTTGACATTCTTATCTACTGTACATTACTTTAGTAGAGTGCACTATGGTATTTTAAAAAGATGGCCACTCTTAAGGGAGCTTGGCCCTTGAACCTTCACATGCAAGTGTCAGCATAGTGGGTTTTAACTTGCATTCCTTAGGTATTAAGTTCCTTACAGTACATCTAAAGTAAATTTATAAGTTTCAGTCAAAATATAATTTCCTAGCATTTTTGTCATGCAATACTTAACAGTATTAAAATTTTGCGTATTTTCCTGTCAGCTAGCTGTGTTATGGCTGTTGGCTAGTCCTGTTCTCAATCTAGGTATTGCCATAAAGAAACTTAGATCAAAGATGAAAACAGTGGTTTTTTTTTTTTCATTACTCTGTGTGGTACATACAGGCACAATATTGGTCATGGAGTAAAATCAAATATTAAGCAAACGAAATCATTTTTTTGTTCCCTTGCAATAATATATCATTCCCTCGAAATAATATTTCGTCTCCTCAAAATATTATTTCGAGGGAACGAAATGATTTTGCGGAAACAAAATATTATTTTGAGGGAACAAAATAAAATATTTTTTCTAATCATGTCCTTTTAGGGGCTTTGTAAATTTCCATTTAGCAATGAAAAACTTATGTCTTTTAATCTTTATTACAGTTCATGGACTGCATTAAGGGAGGAGTTTTTTTGCTATTAAGTATGAGATTACTGACTTTGCTCTGTGTATTGTCAAATGACCTTGAAAATAATAATGGCTTCACAACTTTTTTATTTTAATTTTCATCATTCTTAACATATCACTTGTGGCAAAGACAAGCCAAACCAGTCACTCGTCGCAAATCGTGTTTAAGAGAAAATGGCCAAAACATGCTAGAATGTCTAATTTGTAAAAATTTATTTTATTGCACTAAACTAAAACCTTTATATATCTATACATCATGCTATGCTGTTATTTCCCCCTTTTCAATGTTAAAACAACACTTTTTAAGGATTTCATGATAGTTTGTGCATGAGAAATGCCCGAAATCTTAAACTTTGAATGCTGATTTCTTATATATTGTTCTTTAAACAGCTGTATGTTTAAATGCTTGTAACTTCATAAAGAAATGTTGGATTTGAATGATTTTTTTACCATTTTATAGCTCTTATTTTACTCTTTAACACTGTATTAATAACTCAAAATGGATTTTTGCGACGCATGACTGGTTTGGCTTGTCTTTGCCACATTTTAATAATACAGTTAATAATAATAAACAGTAATAATAATTCAAAAGTGCAATAGGACATTTGGGTAAACACCAAAGATCTTATAAACACAAGATAGCGTTCTCCGCGATTTTCGCGTGCAAATTCTGTAATAAGGCATGAATGGCGCCCTCTTGCTAAATTGGAAACTTTTGACCCTTGACCGCTCTGACCATACTGTACACCGCGCCACTTTACATTTAGGATATCAATCCTGTAAGCAGCAGAACAGGAACCATCTCAGATCCATGGCAACAGATAGGACGCCCTCTTCCGAAACTGATTATTTTTTCTCTTTGGTATAATAGCGCATGAATGGCGCCCTCTTGCTAAATTGGAAACTTTTGAACCTTGACCGACGGTTCTATTTGTTACGCGTAAATCACGGAGAACGCTATCTTGCGTTTATAAGATCTTTGGTAAACATAAGTTATAGGAAATAGGAATGTGTATAAATTATGTAATCTTTTTTATTATATAGTATCATTGTTGTCGTGTCTTTAATATTTTACATTTTAGTCAATTTAGGCATTTTTATTGTTAATTGTTTTATGTTATCTTACATGGTAAAAACTGTTTAAATTGGAATGGAAATAAGTTTTATATATTTGAAAACTTCCTTGGGTTACCCTCTAGGAATTAATGTCTTATCTATTGTTAAGAAACAAATTGATAGCCAACTTATGTAGTACTGTATTTATTTTCATTTTTAGCCTTGTTATCCAGCTGCCCATAATAGAGCATTCACCGATGATCCTTTGGATCCGGTGTACCAATACACATCATACATGGGGGACGTGGACACACGCAGCTTCCATTCAGAATATGTCATGTCAAAACTCCAAAATGAAAATCCGAAGTCATTGAAGAATAGGAGAAAGCAGGTTGCGATTGCCTCTGTTCTGTTTATATTATTCTTTCTAGCTGTCGTAGCCACTTGTATATTATTAATTTATTTCTTAGGTAAGTATCAACCTTTTGAAATCAAATCCTCTTTCAGCCTATTATAATTACTATAGCAGTGTTCTCCCTAGCATCATGGGCAAGCGTCATGGTAAGTGTTAAGTCCACCATAGTTGGGACTGACACAATTTTAATAATTAGGAGGCATTGAAATGTCCTAAATTTGCACTTTAAGACTATATAAAAGCAGGGATCATTTAAATAATTCAACTGTTCTCTGATAAAAGCATCATGGAAGAAGATGTTCCAAGCATCATGGCCAACTGTCAAGCATCATGGGGAAAGTCCAAACCATCAGGGTATTGCTAAACCCCATATACCCTGCAAACCTCCAAAAAAACACCGCAAACCCCATCCAAACCCTGTGATAATGATTGAATCACATAGTATACAGTAGGACTCAATTTAGTATCTCAATTAAAAAAATCTTAAATTTATGTTTGTCACAACCTATTTTTGGGGTAAAAAGGCCATTTTGGATGTGGTTTGCAGGTTTTTTTTTTTTTTTTAGGTTTGCAGGGTTTAGCAATACCCAAGCAGGGTACCAT